TATCATATCATTCATTCATTTTATATATCTGCTAATGTTTTCTTTCATTTTCAGTATAATATTATCAATTACTGAAACGAATGCACAAGTAACTGTACTAACCCTTCAATCGTTCGTTACCAATTTCGCAGGCCCTAATGTAAGTTTTATTCCCCTTATTAGTTTCAAACCTTAAAATGTTACATATTGTAAGCATTACTGTTTATTTAACCATCAACTTTCTTACTATAACTTTATTTTATATTTTAGTCGTTGAACGGTAATGCTAACGGAATACAGACATTCACTTTTAATGTGACCCGTCGAACAGGAGATCGATCTGATTCACCTCCACCGACTACTACTGTTAACCCTTTGTCACTGCTTTTTCAACTTTATCTCAGGGGTTTAACTCAAGCGTCAGCGTCTGGTACAGGCTTCCCATCTTTTCCTCAATATGGTTATCCTTATTATCCATACTACGGTGGATACAGAGGATATGGTTACAGCCCCTATTCTTATTACTATTATTATTATGGATGATTGTTTTACTTTCTCCAAATGTCTTTGTGTCATTATGCAGACTTTAAATTTGCAATAACTTTAATGTTTTATTCTGTAGCAAGTTATTAAATAGATTGTGAATTGAATCAATGTTAAAAATATATCAAAAATTTATGCGACACAATTATCGTCACCAAAGTCATCTGCGACTCTGTCATAATTTGTGTTAACTATGGTAACAATAACTCAAGGATTGAAATGAGGTACCGTGAAAAATGATTATAGTAATTATTAGCTCGTTGAATGATTTAAATATTGTAATAATTAAGTAATTAACAAGTGACAGTTTTTTTGACGTACAATATTCCTTAATTTGCATTTCCAAAGGTCCTTCAGATTTAGTACCAAAAGTGCTAAATCTTTAGGACCATCCTAAGGTATAAAAATCTGATCAAAACATTGGAAACATATAGTTACACATGCTATTATGGGCGGTCGGTCATTCCTATTTTATGTAGCCAAGATGCATTAATCATACTCTGTCTAGCGTGATTTATTAATCCTTATAGCTCTAAAATACTATTTTCTCTTATTAGAACTAATTAATTGATAATTCAATCAATAAATGGTAAAATAAGTGATTGATAGGAAGTGCTTTGCCGATTCAAACATTATCAAAAAATCATAATTAAAGAAAAAAGCGCAGACGAAGAGGAAGAACAAGTTTACCATAATTGTAACTCTATCGCACTTTTTCTTCAAAAAAATCATTGCTTTTAAGGGACCATTTTCTTCCATCTCTTTATTTCTTCATTCGCATCAAATGTGTGTCGTCATCAGGAAGACGAAAAATGTGCTGAACAGCTGTGCTTCATCGCAATAATTATTTAAATAAAATATATTTGGCGATTTTTTCAAAAACTTTGTGTGTTTATCCACCCACCCATTATTTTACCTCTTTCCGGAAAACAAATGTCCGACTTTAAGACACTAAAAACTGTTTAATCCTTATAAATAAAATTTGTCGCTTTTCTGGGAATTAAATGAATTTCTGGATTTTTCATTTCCATTTCAAATGTGCATTGGATCAATAATACTTACATTATCCTATCAACGACATTGAATTGACATACTCCTTAGTCTTGTATGAAGTTACATGATCATTGAAATGAAACAATTTATCTCATGCCAACTATCAGTGGTTACAAATGAATTACAAAATCGCATTACTCATGATCGTTCCCTATTTCACCTTTTCTTCTCTTTTCTAACGAACTGTTTAAATGGTTTTACTCCGTGCATTAAATCTAAGGCAGTCAACGGAGCTTGTACGCAACCATAAATTTCAGTATTCTGCTGAAATTGCCTGTCCTGTCAAATCACAAGCAGATTTCAGTTTTTAGCTAATCAATAAAAGCAATGTTGGCAATGGTTATCCTCTTGCGGAAGCTAAATATTTTTTTTATTTGACAATTTATCTGAAAACTTACTGTCATTTTGAGCTTGGCACGAACAAGCCCTTTAGATTTTATTAATGGTATCAGTACCATCAATTGAGCTGACACATCTTCCAACATTTATAAATATTTCCCTCAAATAAAACACAACGAAAACATGGGCCTTATTGTAATACTACCAATAGTACATTACCAATCAAATTTGCAGGAATTTTGAATTGCTTATTATGCTGTCACTCGTTATCATCAAATGTTTAATTGCATTGACAGTAATGTAAGTTA